TCAAAGCCTGGTGATACCAGTATAACAAGAGCACTGGATCAAGCACACATTTTCCGGTTTTGAAAGAACAGTATAATCGATGGCCATCTGGTTTGCAGCAAACTTGAAATAGCGGAGCTCAAGATCTTGAGGGGAGAGAGGAAGGAGAGCAGCAGAGTATAAATTGTGGACTTCAGGAGAACAGACTTTGGCCTGAGAAGAGAACTGGTAGGTAGGATCACATGCGAGGCAACTCTGAAGTGTGAAGAAGTTCAAGAGAGCTGACAGGTCTCTCAGAACTGCATCGTCCACGCACTGAAACTCGAAATGAGGAAAGAGCAGGAGACCAGTTTGACTAAATAGGGAACTCATGACTGAGCTCCAGGGCAAAAACAACATATACAGGAGCAGCAGGGACAGGATACAAAGGAGAAATTTAGAAGCCTTGCCCTGGCCTGAAGGGTTGGTATTAGGAAAGCCAAAGCTCAGCTAGACTTGAGAATAACAAGGGTTGTCAAAGGCAACAGGAAAAGCTTCTGCTACTACATTAATAAGAAAAATGAAGAAAAAAAAAAAGGAAGGTTTCAGCCTGCTTCTGAATGGGGTACTGACTTAATGATAGCAGACACTGATTAGGCTGAGGCACTTAACACCTGCTTTTCCTCAATTTTCATCAGCAAGGCTTTCCAGGCCTCCAAGCCTGGGTATGGTACAAGGACAAGAGGAACTATCTTGAAGAGGATGGGGATCTCTTAATAAGTTTCAACCCACAGAAATCCACAGGACCCTAGGGGATGCCTCTGAGAGTGTTGAGAGAGCTGTTTGGTGTCATTGTGAAACAACTATCTCTCATCTTTCAAAGGTCATGGAGATCAAGGGAAGTCCCTGAAGAATGGAGAGAGGCAGATGTTGCATCTGTCTTTGAAAAGGGCAAGAAGGATCATCTGGAGAGCTTCAGGCAGGTCAGCCTTGCTTTGGGAAAATAGGGAAATAAATTTTCCTGGAAAGCATTTCCAAGTAAATAGGGCAAGAAGGTGGGAATAGCTGGCGTGATTGTGCCAAGGCGACTTATGCTCGGCCCACCTATTTGCTCTTCTATAATGAATTGACTAGATATGTATGAGGAGAGAACAGTAAATGTTGTCTGCCTTGAATTCAGCAACGCTTTTGTCAGTTTTCTACAGCATCCTTATATTCAGGTTGGGCTGTTATGGTTACCTTAGCTGATAGGTGTGTGAAATCCTGGCTGCTTTAGCAGGCTTAAAGATTAGTGGTTAACAGGTAGTATTCCTCCTAGAGGCTGGTTATCAGTACTGTGGGGGTATATTCTGGGACCTTTTATGTTTCATATAGAAAAGGAGATGAAATGCGCCTTCATCAAGTTTGCAGATGACACCAAACTGTGTGGGGAGCAGTCACTGGAGGGCAGAGCTGCCATCCAGGGACCGAACTGGTGGAGGAAGAGGCCGACAGGACCCCAATGAGATCCAGTGAGTGTCCTGGGCCTTGTCAGCAGGCCCAGACAGTAGATCGAGGGAGGTGATTATTCTCCTCAACTCAGCCCTTGTGAGACTGCACCTAGATACTGTGCCCAGTTTTGGTTGCCTGGTACAGAAAAGACATTGATAATCTAGAGGGTGACCAAGATGGTCATGGCTGGAGCGCAGGCTCTGCAAGGAGGGGCTGAGGGAGTGGGGCTTGTTCAGCCTGGAGAAGAGGCGGCTTCAGGAGGACCCAGTGTCGGTCTCCAGTACATAAGGGGAGGCTATGGAGAAGATGGAACCAGGCTTGGAGGGAGCGTGTGAGACAATAGTGTTGCTAAAGGGGAGTCCTGTTGCCCCGTAAAAGTAGAAGCGCATTAGGTATTAATGCTAACTTGTTTTGAACCCAGTCGTAAGCACATTAATGTAGCATAGCTGTATAAACATTTTCATACCCAATGACCCAGTAAAGATTAGTATTGCCATTGCTAGTTAACAGGCCACAAGCCTTCTGCTAAACTGTACATGGCCCCAGTCCTGGTCTGTGCGGCTTACTCTCAACTTGTTAATGGGAACTTGAGGTGTGAACTGGAGTTTGGTAGCAGGTATCTCTGGTTGTGGTGTACAGTTTAAATATGGGATAAGAGTAAAGGCCTTGAAAATCAGGGCATGGGGATGGGAGGTTCTGAAAATGGGGGAGGTTCTGACAAGATATAAGAAAACTGTTTCACTGCAAGCACTGAAATGCTGGTGTGAAATTATGAAGTTTCATAATTAAGCATTGAAATGGCATTGAATTGAGCAGTCCAGAGAAGCTGCACTGCCTCCATCCTTAGAGGTTTTCAAGACCCAATTGGGTAACGCCCTGAGTAACCTGGCCTGATTTAATAGTTGACCGTGCTTTGAGCGTAAGGTAAGGTTAGAGCCTTGCCAAAATCCCCTCCAGCCTGAATTGTTCTGTGATCCTATGAATAGTCTCTAGGGTCCCTCTGAAGCTTTTGTAAGAATGGTTTTTCTTGTGACTGGGAGGTGGAAAAATAATTTTAAGATAGCTGATATGTTTTTAGAAGCTTCGTTGCTTAAGCTTATTTACAGCTTGCCCACTATCACTCAGAACAGCATGAATGAGCAGAGACACATACAGGTGAAAAGGCAGTGTGAGTGTGTATGTGTGTGTATGAAGACAGTGTGAACTGGAAACGGATTAATTCATTCCTGTGTTGCCTATATAGAGAGCGTTTCTCTTTACGCTTAGGTTTTGTATTTACTCAGTACTAATCATTTTATATAGCTGGTGCGGTATATGTACCTCTTTAAAAGTTCACAAGATAATTGGTGGAAGAAAACATTGCATTTTGGGAAATGTGAAAAGACATGAGCCTGAGCTAGAACACAAGAAGTCCACTAGCTGACCACTTTGCAGGTCTATAATATCCTTTGGCAAACTAGCAAGCCCAGATGGTTATGGGACTGCAGCATATGGTGTGCAAGAAGAGGCTGAGAGAGTTGGTTTTGTTCAGCCTAGAGAATAGAAGGCTAGGTGTGGGGAGGTGTAATTGCCATCCGTTAAAGAGACAATGGTCAGAGATTGTAGCAAGGGAAATTCTGAATAGAGATTAAAAAAAAAACCCTCCAGTTTTAATAATTCCAATATTAAGCCTTGGAATTCAAAAAGACAAAGAACGGTTGGGAACATTAGGTATATTGATGTATGTTACAATATTTTGGAAAGCGATGGAGCTTAATTCAAATCCTTCCTCCCCCTGCTTTTTGCTTAGTCCTGCCTTTGGGTACTAGGTTAAACTCACAACAGAAAGAAAGTTTTAATGTTGAGAAGAGAGTTGCATAATGGATCAACTGAAGTATAAATTTAACTCTTAAATGTATGAATATGAAATGCTTCCTTGTCAGAGAAACTGTCATTTCCCAAGTCTGAGGTCTGTGAACCTTGAACCATTGGTGCAAACATTGTGGAGATAGCAAAATGTGAAGTGAACCCTAGAAGTTATTGTTAATATTATGGAAGAAATCCTCAAGCTATGGAAAACCCATTGGCTATGTAGCTACTTTAGACCTGCCCTAGAGGAAATATAAAGCGAGTGTGCCTTTAATTTGTTCTCAAACATAAATTACAGAAGAAGCTACAAATAGAAGTGAATATGCAGATGTGAGAGTGAGCCAGCTCAGATGAGACACATCTCCTTTCTTGACAATGTTTTTTTTCACAGGATTAAGCCTTACTTGAGGTATGGAATATCTTACACTGGCTTTCTTGGTTCTGTTCACTCATCCCAGCAGATGTTGTGAAGTACAAGACTTAAAAAATGCACTGACTAGTTGCATGATATGTCTGTGTATGCTTTCTTCTTTCTCTCTGTGCTCCTTTCAATGCTCTTAGCAAAGTAACATGGCTCAGCAATGTATAGTTAGCTTTCTACTGAACTTTTCTGCTAAAGTTTTATAGTAATAATTCACTTGCTGCCTTTGCTTTTCAACTGTCTGTGTTACTGTCAATTTTTGTACTTTCACTGTTAGTTCTCTTTTTGTCTCTATTTTCCCTTAAGCCTTTTACTTTTTTCTGTTTTGTTTTTCTTTTCTTCATTTCTATTCACAAGGATAAAAATTGCATGGGAAAAGCAGTACTAAGCACTTGTTAGCAGTGTGGACTAAAATGAGTGAAAGAATGGTCTGAGGAAATAGAGTTCTGGCGCTTTATTGCTTCAGTGATCAAGATATGTGTAATGCAAATACAACGTTATTTGAAGTCTTTGCTTTTTGTAGCCCATGTCCACAGCAGCCGCAAGCAAAAAGTTCCCCAACCTATTTCAGGTTTCTGGAAGTGAGAATGTGTGTTCTGTTTGGTTTGCTCATGTGGATGCCTCCTGACAGGTGCAAGGCTGATAATGAGACAGTGTGTACTGATTCTTTACACCACTTAAGCCTCTGGTACTGGATCCTCTTTCACAAGGAGCACAGTATGCAGGCTTGTCCTCTGCTGCTCCTGTTCCTAACTCTAAAGTACTTACTTTTTTAACGCAAAAAATTGCGTTATTATATCTCACATGGTAGGTTTATTGATGGTTGTCATACGTGGTGTGTGCTATGTGTGCATCACTGAAAGTAGCTATTTTAGTTCAGTCTAGTTAATAGAATTGATTCCTGACTTCTCCGTGCTGTTCCATGTGCCAGAGCAGCATCTCTAGAGGTTATCAGGACATGTGCACATAGGATTTCACCAGCCAAAGAAATAAAAAAAATTGTACATTTAAGACCTTATCAGGATCCGGGTTGTCGTCCCTCTGAGGACAGGACAACTTCAAGAGAGCTGTGGTGTGTGGATGATAAGCGCGATGGGTTTTTGCAAAACTGGGTCACTGTGGAAAATCGGCTTAAGAAGCAACATGATAGAGAAGATGTATTTCACCTAAATTGTATGCTTTAGATGCAAGTTCAGGCCTATCTATTGTTAATCAAGAGAAACATCTAGTTCTATTTGTGATTTTGTTTTTAACTGCTACTAAAGTATTTTTTTCCCTTCAGCTGATGGAGTCTGTGTGTTTAAATGCTTGGTTAACAGAGACACTGAATACTGTCGTTTGGGAAAAGAGTCTGTGTTAATTACGCTGGGATACAACAGTGCCTTGCTCCAGTTCAAGTCACAAGCTGGTAAGTATATCTTGCGCTTGTGAGCATCTTCTCCTTCCTGCCATGCTGCTATGTTGGTAAAGTTTACTTTTAAATATTCTGTCTTCTGCCTCTGTTGTTGGCTGTTTGAATGTTTTATGATTATCATAATATGTGCAGTTTCATTTGCCTCTGTCCTGTTCCAGCCATTTTTTTTGCAGTGCAATAGACATAAGTTTTTTTTACAAAACAGCTGCAGATTCGGTTTTTGAAGAAACCGCAGATAACTGCAGATAAGAAGTATGACTTCACTTCATAACCTGTAATACTTGGTAAATGTAATGCTTCATGTGGGCAATCTGCCAGTCACTGCTCTTCAGTAGGAAATTGTCTTGCAGATCTGTTAATCTGCATAGTTTATTGAGTAGTGTAACGTGTCTGGAGTTCACAGGATAAATACTTTGTGTGTAGTTGTGCTGAAAAAAAACTCATTCTGTTACAGAAACATGACAATATTTTAGCAGAATGTTGAGATCTCTATTTTTACAACTCCCCCAATGTAATTTTTGTAACTATCCATTTATTCTGAGTAGCCTGCATTGTGAGCACAACTCATTTTGAAATTGTGTAAGTATCAGGAATATACTACTTCTTATGTAAGAGTCATGAGTGGTTCTTGCATAGCAGCCTATATCAGTAGGCCTGGTGATTTCCAGAGGAGAGGCCAGTATGATTATTCCCATTTTATATTGTGTGAAAACAGAGGCACAGAGCAATTAGATTTGACTTTTGGCAGCCTATTTAAAAACACGCACATGTTACAAAATACCAGGAGCTGACCAGCTGGATATATATTGTTTGGTGCAATAAGTTGCTAGTATATCTGAATGGCCCAGTGTTGCACAGACATGTACATGCATTCCATGTTGCACTGCAGTAGAAAATACACTTTTTAAACCAACGTTGAGTTTTCAGTTCTCATATTTCGGGAGCCTTTAAAATCCTGCCTTGTTACAGCATTTTATTTGTATCTATCAGGGAAAGTTAGTCACATTTTTAATCTCTGTTGGTGGATTTTTCAACTTATCCGAGTAATATGGTTTGATACCATGTTTCCATCAAATTATTTCTTTTGAGACTACAATTCAGTATTGTCTCTTACAGACTCTCACATCAAAATTAAGGAGATAATTGAGATTAGATTGTTTAGGGATTTATTAGCTCATTGCTTAGATAATTATTAACTAATAATTAAGGAGTCAGCGAGGCAAGTTTTTCTTTAAACTGTTTTGCATTCTCTAGTATGTCTTACTTAACTAGCAAGGTCCTAATAGGCATTGTTAGTTTGGGATCCCAAAGCAAAATAAGTTTTTCTTAGTTCTCTTCCCTGCCTTTACAAAAAAAAGTTTGAAAAATTCAGCGAATTTATGCCTAGTTCATATTCTTCCTAAGAGTGGATTGAATATTAATGGGTAAGTTCAGTCCCCTGTTTAGCCCTTTTCCTTGGTGATTTGTTTTTATAGCTGCATATTATGAAACAGATAAAAATAACAATATCTTAATTTATCATTTTTGATTTATTGTAACATGACAAAATAGAGTGTTTTCCATATTTTTGTCCATCTTTAAAAGTCAGGGGAAGATAAAGTGAAAAGCTCTGTCAGTCCATGCAACAGCTCCCTGACAAAACTTCAGGAGTATAATTGATAGGTCCAAATAAAGTCTGGTCAGATTAGATGATGAATCTGTTGGTATGAAATGTAACATGTTGGCTGCTGCTTTAAGCTGAAAGTTATTGATGGGATATTTTTTCCCCAGTGCCACGAGGAGAACTTACCGGTACCTTTTCTACGTGTTTATTATACTGCCTACTCTAGAGAAACTTACCTGTTGTACCAAAAAGGCAAGGCCACGGAGCAGAAGTCAACTTCTATTGTGTGCTGTGTATGAGTGTAGGCATTAGTCTCTTCTACGTACATGCAAGTGTGTGTGTGTGCATCTGTATGTATATAAAAATACATAAAAATTATGTTGTAATTCAAAAAGTTACAGAGAAATGTTCTCCTCCTTAATTTGTTGAAAGTGTTAATAATGGAAACACGTTGCAAAAGCTTTAGGTTCTTAAAGGCTTCTTTGTCTTTTAGGAAGGTAGGAGGAGATGAGTAGTAAGGATGAAGGAGAGGGGAATTCATGCCCTGCTAGTGGCCATGCAGAGAATTGCTGCTCTGCCTTCAGCATTTAAACACTTATAAATCATAGACTGTGTCTTCCATTTCCTACTAAACATATGTTAAACATCTGAGTAGGGTCCAGCAGGCCATTAAAATGGAGGTTAGTAGCCTACAGGCTTTTCTTTCAAAAACAAAGATCGTTTATCTGGAACAGATCAACCAACTAGTCTGTAACTCATCTGTGGCAGACTTGGTAGGCAGCTCTCTACTCCTAGGTTGAAATGCCCTGCTTAATTTAGCAGAGAATTAGCTGATGAGCGTAGGATGAATTACTCTTTCAGGATTGTGGTAGAACACAGATTTCTTCTCTTACAAACTTAACCCTGGTCTCCAGCCACTTGCGTAGTGGGTCTAGGTGCTGGACATGCCAATGGTGGTTGTCTCTAGGTGGCATTTTACTAGCACAACTCTCCTTAAAATTTGTCAGCCAGGTCTGATAATCTGTGCCACTTACACAGAAGTACAGTACAGGAAAAAGAAAAATGTACTGTTTATGTTTCACTTAAGTATGTATTATTTATGAATGTCCATGTATAAAATTGAGATAGAGACTTACGTAAGTGTGTGTGTGTCTGACTGACCTAAACCGGCTTTTCTTTCAATTGATTTAGAATGCAGTTAAATTCACAAATGTCTATCATGTTGTATCTTGAAACTTGTAGGGCTTTATTGAATGCAGAAAAAGGTTCAATGTTTTGAGAAAAGAACATGCACAACACATATCACTGTAATTGCAACTCAGCAATTAACAGTAATTCTGAAGTCTAGCATTCCAGCATCTAGTCTCAAAAGAGCAGCAGGAAGTCCTACTACTGATACGACATCTTCAAAAATTCAAAGAGAGCTTTATTTTTAAGCCCCACTGTATGCATAGCTATCATCCCTAACTCTTCAACTTGTGGGACAGAAACTTTGGCTCTGTGTTGTACTCCAGTTTCTGCATTGTTGCACAGTCACAAAATTGCTTTAAGCTTTGTAGGTTC